GTGTGTGTGTGTGTGTGTGTGTGTGTGTGTGTGTGTGTGTGTGTGTGTGCGCGCGTGCGTCCTCCCATGGGAGCTCTGATGGAGTTACACACTAACACTCCCCCTCTCTCCCCCCCTCTCAAAGTGGCGGGCAGGATCAGGTGTGTTTCTGCTCTACTTGTGGTCCCACAGTTTATCCTCTCGTCCTTCCTTCTCTCTCATGAAACGATGTGATATTAATGATCCGTCTCATAAATGATTTTTCACCCTCTCTCAGCCTTTCATCCCTCTTTTCCCTCCGTCCTGTGTCTCTCAGCCTTTCATCTAAATTCCGGTTGGTTTGAGGCCCACTGATTCCATTGCAATGATATACAACAACAATCCTATTGTTTTTAAAGTAAAGGTCATTCATTATAGTGTAAGACTTTTATTATTATTATTGCATAAACAGTCCTCATCCGTTATCAAGTGAACAACCTAAAGCAGGAAGCAGCACTGAGCACTTCCTGTCGGAAACCTTTGAAAGCAGAACTTAAAGATTTGAAGTTACTTCACCGTGTTGAAGCACATGGTCATTGATTTACTTTAATTACCTCGCTGAGCTCTCAGCCTCTCGCTCTAAATGTTCCTCTTCTCCACGTCTCTTTTATGCCCGCAGACAGACGGCAGTTTCACTGTTCCGTCTTCACTCTTTCATCACAGTGCTTTGGTTTTGTTGTTTTCTCAGAGTGTTCCCTACTTCCGACTCTTCTGTATCTGCTGCTTTCTAATCCTCGTGGCAGTTTTCATCAAACAGTGGCCCACAGCCTCTCATGTCTGTGTTTACTGATCAGTCTCCAGTGATTTTAAAGTTGAATTGTGAGGATTTAACAATGAATCTTCACTTCATTCAACTCCCGTATTCCTGTTTGAATCCGTGAAAAAACACGGAATTGTTACTGCGACGTAAATCATTGCATCTTCAGTGTTTCTGTGTGGATGTAAGACGATATGTTGCGATCAGATGCTCATCCAACGAGCCATGTCACCAAATGTTACTGTTTCTTTAAGACAGCTGCTGAATGTGGCAGCTGACATATGGATTTGTATCCATATGTTAATGTATTTAAAAGTCATTGCGGCTCCACTCGTCTACATTTTTAATGTACAATTTTCATGCTAACAATGTTTTATATGTTTTTGTTTTTTTTTGGGGGACTTTATGTCAGATGGCGTTACACGGTCACCGAGCAAACCGTGTAGCGAGATGGATAAATATGCGACAATAGCCCAAAGCCACTAATCAACTTAATTTGTTATACACGTTCCTCCCTACGTGGTTAGAAAGATATTAAATACGGCTTAACATGGATTTATTTTATTTAACCAGAATATTTCCATCTCTTTTTTTAAAGAGGTTCTGGCCAAGAAAGCAGTGTAAAAGTTTTACTCCATAAAAAACACAGATAACAGCAAAAACGTTAAAATCCTATAAAAGAGAATTTTTTTTTTTTTTTTTTTACTGTGACTTTTCACCGTCGCAGTGGAGTCCAGGAGGCGAGGATTTGATGGATTGTGTGTTTTCTGTCCCTCTGTGCAGAAGTCGGATCATGGCCAGGTGTTGCTGGATGCTGTCTTTAAGCACCTGGAGCTGACTGAGAGAGACTACTTTGGCCTGCACTTGGCTGATGACTCCTTAGATGCGCCGGTCAGTCGGATGTTTTTGCTCGATAGGAGTGTGTTTATGAGTGAATGAACGTGTCGTGCTGTAGGAAAGTTGACGTAATCTATTGTGTGGGTGCATTGATTTTAAACCTGCGTTGTGTGTGTGTGTGTGTGTGTGTGTGTGTGGACACATGTGGACTCTAGCTCTGTATTTGGATCAGCATCAAAAAATCTAAGTCACCATGACTGTGTGTCAATAGCTATCTAGAATGTACATTTACTGCATGTCAGTGTGTATAGTATATAGAAGTGTTTGTATCCACGTGAACGGTGTTTGAGTACTTCTGTCAGATGTGTGTGTGTGTGTGTGTGTGGTGAATAATTTAGGGTGTGTAACCATGCTATGGAAGGTGTCTCTAAGTGTCTCTCTATCAATATTTTACAGCGCTGGCTCGATCCCAACAAGCCCGTCAGGAAACAGTTAAAAAGTAGGTGAAATCCACCTGAACTAACAAGTCCAGATCTTTTTCCAGGAATCGGCAGAAAGTCGTGAAGCCAAAGCGAGTTCACTCGAGTCCAAGTCGTTGCTTAAAATCTCACTATTTACCAGCTGATTGAGGCGGTAGTGTGCCGTCCAGCCTCGAGGTTAAACATCCTCACTCCACCACCAGCAAAAGTCTCGCGTCTGCACCGAGATTTAGAGTTCTAAATCTGCTGTGAGCAATTATTAAACTTCATTTCAACTCGGCTCTGTTTTTGGATAATGAGTTATAGAATGTTGTAACACGTAGAGGAATTAAGAAGTAGCCCGAGTGAGACACGCAGTCGTCCTCCAGCGACGATTGAACTGTGTTTCAACTGTGTTTTTGTGCCGAGTGATTGATTCATTGAGGAATAACCACAGGATGTTATGTATTACGTTATGTTACAGTGCATGGAGCTAGGCCGATTGTGTTTGTGCACATTTTACGCTTTGAGTCATTACGTCCACTTTGTTTACATCCTGTAAGAAATATAAATCCAGTCTTACAGTAGAAGCGTATACACTTCACTTACAGTTTGCATCCTCTCACAGATCTGCCGCGTTGTGTTTTCCTCTCTAACTGTTTGTTGTCATTTTTTCCAGGAGGCTCTCCCTATAGCTTGAGCTTCAGAGTCAAATTCTTTGTGACAGACCCCAGTAAACTTCAGGAAGAATACACACGGTAAGAGTTTACAGACTGGTATACACGGACTATCACTGACGTAAAGGGGGGGGTTTGAAAAAGGACGTATACTTGACACAAGCGGTTAACGGGGGTCCAGCCATAGATACCTGTGACATGGATTATGCTTTATAGTTCAGTGTTGGCAACACCAGACCGGTGTATCATAAGGATCTTATCGTGCTTTGATATCGAGGTTATTAAAACGAGATCATGTCCATAAAGTGTACGATAATAGAGAACGGTGATCTTGATGAGCATGAAGTTGTTTTTCCTATTTGTTTCCTGTCATATCCGACTCTCAATTAGCAAGAGTAGAGACAAATACTAACTGTTGAGTTGAATTAGACAGGTTTATTGAGATTGGTTTAATGTCCTAAGTGCCACATAATGATGCAAATTGGGTACATAATGTCCCTAAGCTCACCATGCAAGAAGGAGCATATTGTATATAAAATGTAAAGGGATTTCTATTCTGGGAATCTTAAGTAAACAAGGTGATGATATAGAAAATGGTTATGAAAAGAGCTTTTGGGATCTAATCATCATCATCATCAGGACCAGAGCTTCATTCTCTCGCTGATGATGCAGGCTCATTAACGAGAAATAAGAAACCAGCGTGTTCCGCATCGAGGCCGCGATGTGGACTCCAACCCACACTCCTGCAAACATACGGTCTGACGACACTGCGCTCTGCACAAACAACATGCAGAGGAGGCGTCGCAGCGCCATATCGCCTTTTCCGCCTGGTGTTTATTTCAGCCTCTCAGCCGTGGCCTCGCTCTCTCTCAGCCTTATCAACACTTTCTATGCAGCTCGTAACTGTGGAACGGGGGGGGGGGCTTGGATCTGGAACCGGCGATCTTGTACGCTCGAATCACGACAAAAAAAACGCACTGCATGACGGCTTTGTTTATGACATCGGAGTACACAACGATGCTGCTCCAAACACAGCTGATAAGGGGCCGCTGAAGGGGGTCCATTAATTTGACACAACAGGAAAACCATTAAAACAATTTAAACAGAAGTAATGGTGCACAGGTGTCTCTTCTTAATGCGCTGTGTTGTCTCTCCTCAGGTACCAATATTATCTTCAGATCAAGCAGGATATAGTAACTGGAAGGTGAGTCTTCACTTGTGTTTTAAATGCCTGTAAAGAGTTGCTGTTGTAGACTTATTGTCGTTGCATTAGCATTGGTTGTAGTGGAGTGAGTTAGTGGGTCTAAATTCTACCAAGAGTTGCATGACTGGAGGAGATATGAGTTAATACACACACCCAACACGCTCAGTGTTGTTTTTGTCAGTCACGATGATCAAAGATGAGTAATCGCTCTTTTGTATTGATCCAACACTTCTTGTCCCTGTGCTTTCCAGACTGCACTGTCCTCACAACACAGCCGCTCTGCTGGCGTCCTATTCCGTTCAATGTAAGTAGCGCTCCCTGGATACATCCACTCTCTGGAAAAGGGCAATTCATTAGGCCTCTCTTTAGCTACGCTCTCTGTTAAATGTAATGGCTGCGGTTGCTCCAGTGCATTCGTTGCTGGTGCTCTGAAGCCATTATGATTCAATTAAGACTCAAGTGTGCTGATATTTGATAGCATTTGCAGCGATGTAAATATGTAATGTGATTGTGGTTTGTTTTTTTTACAGTCGGGGTTTAGTAAAAAAAACGAAATCCTTTCTTATTGGTCAAATATGGTACAGTGGCGAATGGAAATGTGCTGTTGTGATTGAGTGTTTGTGTTAAAGGCTGACTGTGCCCCTCTGTCATCAGAATAATGACACACTGGTCCGTCTGTGTCACTCGCTCTTTCTCTGTTACTGCTGCTCATTGTTTTCACGCTGTCTGTTTCTTTCTTTTATCTGTTTAGTCCGTCTCATCCCTTTCTGCT